CCTAGTTCAGGTTTTTAACATAGTAAAAGACAGACTCAGGAAAAGAATGGAACTCTACTTTATTAGGCAATACTGAGCATCCATCCTATAAGAACTAAGCCCATTCTGAGCACAGGCCCCATGTGTAGGAGGAGGCAGTTTCCCATTTCCTGGAAATGCCTTATCTCCTCTTACTTCACAGCAAACCCCTTCACCTGCCATCATGCCCGTCTTCACTCTCTCCAGGTGCGAGGATCCCGAGAACAAAGCCCCGGTAGCATCCCAAGATCAAGGGGGACACCTGTAGGACAAACTCCTGATTCAAGCCCAAATATCTCCAGGGAACAGATATGTCCTCAAAGTTAGCACTTCTTTAAAAATAATGTTCTTAGTATACAAAAGCTACCTGACAGGATTCTAGGTCTGCATATATCAAATAAAAAATAAAAGAAGAGGGAAACAAGTGCATAGAATAATTCAGAAATTATGGGGCTATGTATCTGTTGGGCCAAAGGCACAAACCCACCCTGCTGCGTGCAGGACTGTTTTACTCTTGATGAGACAGAAGTTACCATCCACCATGGGATGGCAGCTGGGGCTCTCAGACTTCACTACACTCTCCAGGACAAAACCCCACGAGAACAAATGTGTTCCCATGGTAGCTGACCTAGCTACCAAAGGACAGTAGGCAGAGACAAAAGCAAACACTGAAATGTCCTCAGTTTACCCCTCTCCTGCAGGCCCTGTCCAACTCTTACCAATGGAAAGGACACTGGGACACTGGCTCCAGGCTGTACGTCCTCATGTTTCTGTGCTCCTGACACTTTCTGGAAATAGAAAGGGGCTTTATCTTCATGTGGATGACTCAGAACTGGAGAAGCCCCTCCACGTTGACCTGAAATCAAAGCCCAAGGCACCAAAGCCAGAAGAGCAGATTCTAGCATGGGCAGGGAGCTCTGGAACACTAACAGCTTGGGGTGAAGGCACCTTAGCCCAACAATGTAGCAGCAAAACAACAAAACAACCAGAACCACACCAAAGATTTCCAGTATTTCTCTGAGGACTTGGCCCACGTTCTGAGCCATGCTGTCTTCCATTCCACGTGGAGAAACATTTCCCCCCCCATTTTACCAAAGAGGAAACTGAGGCACAGAGGAATCACGAGAGAGGGGGCCAATCAAGTCACCCAATGTAAGGGAAAAAGACCCAACTTTCCAGACCTTCCACTCCTATGCCCTGTTCTTGAATGTATATGGGACTTGACTCAGACCACTAAAATGACAGTGTCCTGGAAATGAGGATGAGCAAGGGGAAGATTCTGGCAAAACCCCACAGAATGTTTAGGAAGCCCGGCTCTTTGAAAGGGAATCACTGCTGGGGCAGTGTGGCAACTCCCACTCCAGGCCAGTCCCTCACTTTCGCTCTTTGCCACTTCAATAAAGTTTCTCTTTCATGTGAGTTCTCTGATGTGTGATAAAGTTAGAGCTGTTGCTGAAGCCTTTGCCACACTCGGGGCATTTGTAGGGCTTCTCCCCAGTGTGGATTCGCTGATGTATAATGAGGACCGAGTTCCAACTAAAGCCTTTCCCACACTCAGGGCACCTGTAGGGCTTGTCTCCCAAATGGGCTCTCTGGTGCATGACCAGAATGGAGCCCCGGCTGAAGCTCTTGCCGCACATGAGGCATTTGTAGGGCTTCTCGCCTGTGTGGGTCCGTTGGTGCACTACGAGTTGGGAGCGCTGGCTGAAGCATTTCCCACACTCGCTGCATTTGTAGGGCTTCTCTCCTGTGTGGATCCTCTGGTGCTTGAGGAGGTTGGAGCTCCAGCTGAAGCTCTCCCCACATGTCAGGCACTCGTAGGGTTTCTCCCCTGTGTGCATACCCTGGTGTGCGATCAGACTGGAGCTCTGGCTGAAGCTCTTCCCGCACACCCCACACTTATAGGGCTTCTCCACCATGTGGGTTCTCCGGTGCGTGGCCAGGTTGGAGCTGCGGCTGAAGCTTTTCCCACACTCACTGCACTGGTAGGGTTTCTCTCCTGTGTGGGTTCTCCGGTGGGTGATGAGGGCTGAGCTCTGGCTGAACCTCTGCCCACAGTCTGTACATTTATAGGGTTTCTCTCCTGTGTGGATTCTCTGGTGTCTGATTAGGTTGGAGTTGTAACTAAAGCTTTCGCCGCATTCTTTACATTCGTAGGGCTTTTCTCCAGTGTGGATCCCCTGATGGGTGTTAAGGCTGGATCGGTTGCCAAAGCTCTTTCCACACTCAGGGCACGAGTAGGGTTTCTCTCCAGTGTGGGTGCGCTGATGTGCGATGAGGTTGGGACTCCTGCTGAAGCTCTTGCCACACTCGGCACACTGGAAGGGCTTCTCCCCCGTGTGGATCCTCTGGTGGGTTATGAGGTTGGCACTCCGGCTAAAGCTCTTCCCACAGTCTCTGCATTTGTAGGGCTTCTCCCCAGTGTGAGTGGTTTGGTGTCTACTAAAGTTTGAACCATCACTAAAGCTTTTTCCACATTCATCACATTTGTAGTATTTCTCTCCTGTGTGGGTCCTCTCGTGTGTGATGAGGTGGGATTTCCGGCTGAAGGTCTTCCCACACTGGGGACATTCGTAGGGCTTCTCCCCCAAGTAGGTGCCCTGCAGGCCTATGAGCTGCCCAACTTCCCTGTCCTGAGAGAGCACCTCCCCGTGGTCCTCGCCTGGGGTGTGTCCCTGGGCCCTCTGGACGCCATCATCTCTCTCAAAGTCACTTTCCCTATCGGAGTGCTGAGCACTTTCACCTTCAGGCATTTCAGAGAATATCTCACGTGATTCATTCTCAAACATGTCTTGATTACAGTTCTCCCCATTTTCACTCTGTATCTCAAAATCTGAAACAATGAAGAAAAACATACAATGTCTACTCAACTCCCTGTCATGATGACAAAAGGAAACTAAGGGGGAAATTTATAAAAATTAAACTTCCAGTGAACACAAAGAGGCTAGGAAATCCTCAAAGCCTTTAATAATCAGGTTTAATATACCCAAAGGAATATAAATCATTCTGTTATAAAGACACATGCACATATATGTTCAATGCTGCACTATTCACAATAGCAAAGACATAGAATCAACCCAAATGCCCATCAATGATACACTGGATGAAGAAAATGTAGTACATACACACTGTGGAATACTATGCAGCCATAAAAAGGAATGAGATTATGTCTTTTGCAGGGACATGAATGGATTGGAAGCCATTATCCTCAGCAAACTAACACAGGAACAGAAAACCAAACACTGCATGTTCTCTCTTATAAGTAGGAGCTGAATGAAGAGAACACACGAGCACATGGAGGGGAATAACACACACTGGGGCCTGTGGGGGAGGGGGAGGGAGAGCATCAGGAAGAATAGCTAATGGATGCTGGGCTTAATACCTAGGTGGTGGAATGATCTGTACAGCAAACCACCATGGCACGCATTTACCTTTGTAGCAAACCTGCACATCCTGCACACGTACCCCTGAACTTAAAAGTTGAAGGGAAAAAAAAAACAGGCTTATTTCATTCTGACTGGTTGTCAGGCCTCATAATCTTTGTGGCAATCACCCAGAATTTCAAAGCCTTAAAGATTTGGGTTCCATGTCCCATGTCTTCATCTGAAAATGAGATCAGGTGGGAATTTTAAAGGACATCAACAGGGTACCTACCCAATTACCCCGATACTCACCATAATGCCTGATGCTTGATTCAATGTAATGAGTGAATCAATGAGTTTTTTATTGGTACCACAGACATTTCCCTAAAGCTTGGTCTCCTTTCAAAAGGAGCTTACATAATAATTTCTTGTATAACATGTACCTGGTGTTTATGACCTCATTACTTTGTATTTAAGACACAGGAAAGATGACAGAGCCCCTGCAATCAGGACCCTAGGTGTCTATACCAATGACTAGAAGCAAGTTAACTGGATTGTTAAAAGAGCCCTCAAATTTGTCTGCAGTGGGAGCTTATGAACAGATCTTTAATTGGTAATACAAAATATTTTCTGGGAACTTGTTAAACCTTCCACTGCCCAAATATTTGAGTAAAAGAAATCAATAGGGAGCACTGCTAGAACACAGCCCCTTCCTTAGATGAGGGACTGTAAAATCTACCCGAGGATGAGGCCAAAGCAGAGAGCTGAGCCTGGATCACACTGTTCTGACCCCCGACAGAACCATGTTTACTGAAGAGTGTGTTGGCTTCATAGCCCTGGCTGACACTCTAAAAAGTGTCATTAGAAATTAATGGCTGTCACCAGGCATTGTGGCTCACGCCTGTGATCCCAGCACTTTGGGAGGCCAAGGCGGGTGGATTATCTGAGGTCAGGAGTCTGAGACCAGCCTGACCAACACGGTGAAACCCTATCTCTACTAAAAATACAAAAAAATTAGCTGGGCATGGTGGCGGGCACCTATAATCCCAGCTACTTGGGAGGCTGAGGCAGGAGAATTGCTAGAACCTGGGAGGCAGATGTTTTGGTGAGCCGAGATCACGCCACTGCACTCCAGCCTGGGCAACAGAGCCAAGACTCCATCTCAAAAAAAAAAAAAAAA